GTGTGGGATATCCAGGGTGATCCAGTGTATGTGAACAGTGAGATGTTTGGGCGCTGAAGTCGCCATAGCCAATTAAGAGCGAACTCGTGCCTGAAAGCCATTTCTCTGAGTTTTGAGTGGGCGCATGTTGCCAGTATGCTGCGTTGCTGTTTACATGCATGAAAAGTGTGTTTGAGAACGAGTCTGATTGCACAATCTACACAGTATTTTTTTCCTGTTTTTTTTTTTTTTTTTTTTGGTGCGTCAAGGTTTCCTGGATCCCTGCCCGGGGTTCATGCCTGCCAGGCACCCGGGCGTGTGTGCAGGCACAAGCTGGGTGCCTGGGCTCCTGGACAAACAGCCTAGCCGAAAAGAATGAAAAGAGAGAAAGAGAAAAAGACCGACAAGCCTAGTTCAGTTGGTATGTTGAAATGCAGACCTAAGTTTGAATCCAGATGATGGAACTCGATGAATGGAATCAAATGTTATGTTTCTGAATTATCTGGGACCGGTCAGCTCAATGACAATATGTGAACTTCTCAAGGCTGTCGCCCTTTCAAAAAAGAAAGGAAAAGAGAAGCAAAAAATGGATCGAAAAAGAAAGAAAAAGAAACTCAGAAAATGGATAGAAAAAGAAAGAAAAGGAAAAGGAAAAAATGGACACCCTGCGAAATTTGTTTTTCCAAGTTCTATTTCTTCGCTGTCGTTTCTTTTTTCAGTCCAGGACTCCAAAGCTGAGTTGTAGATAATGATTACATTCCAATATTACTAACAGAATTGAGTACAACTGTATTTCAATATACTGTTTATGCTTCCAAAATACAAAGTTGGACGAATCTGGAAACTTCAGGAAATCTACTTTACACCACTTATTTTTATTTGTTTCTGGTTTCAAGTCTTATTTTATTAGTGGCCATGATTGGAGCTATAGTACTTACCATGCATAAGACTACTCAAGTAAAAAGACAAGATGTTTTTCAACAAAATATGATAGGGGTTCTGAACTTGTGATGATTTTGTTTGTGTCTTCAGTTGATGACAGGTCTCCCTGAGGAGTACCTTGCAGATGAGACTGTGATGAACTCTGGAGCAGAGCTTGGCGTTAGCTACATGCATCGTCTCATTGCACTGTAAGCCATCCATTTTACATCCACAAAATGCATAAGCCATCCATTTCACATCCACAAATGCATGTATACAAGAGGAAGGAGAGGAGGATTGGAGAGAGCAAAAAAGAAGATGCAAAGGAAGAGAGGAGGGGGGAGGAACAGATTTGCTCAACTTGCTGGTGGAAAGGGAATCAAAGGGCGTCGACCAGGACGAAAACCAGGCTTGCGCGCTCATAGATTGTCTTTTTGTGAGCTTTCTGAGTTCGTTGCAATTCTTTCGGGTCAAATTCGATCTCAGATATATACTAAGGCCAGAGTCCAGAATGTGAGCTTTCTGAGTTCGTTGCAATTCTTTCTGAGTTCGTTGCAATTCTTTCGAATTGAACCACGGTGTCCTCATTTTGTTTTTCCCCGCAAGTAATAATAGCCTATGAATACGGGAAAAGAGAAAGGGAAGGGAAGTGGGACTGGTGTGCCCATGATTGGAGCGAAGTGTGCGAGAATTGCCCCGTCCACGTGGTGTTGTGTGTGGTGTTGTGTCGAGTTGGACACTACAGCCTTGCAGGGGTGGGTGGGGCGGATATGATGACCGGTATGGTTCCACGTTTGGACACTGTGTCCTGCCTGCAGTGGTTAAGAGACTTGGCTCTTGAGGCTGAGGTCGCCGGTTCGAATCCGTGCTTACACCGAGGAGGTCTAGGCACAGATGTACGGATCCATAACTGCTGTGCCCATGATCTGTTTGGAGTATCGAAGGAGGCTGTACCTGTAAAACTGGAATCAAGACCGAAATTCCGTTCGGCAGACAGAAGGGAAAGTGGTGGACTGTCCTTCGCGACATCTGTTGAAACTGTTGGAACGATACAGAGAAGATTAGCATGGCTCCTGTACAAAAGGATGACACACATAAATCGAGAAATGGTCCAAATTAAATAAATAAATAAAAAAGAAAAAAAAAAAAGAAAAGAGAGGACGGAAGTCTTGGACTATCAAGCTCAGTAGCGGGAAGAGGTGCGGGATGGGAAAAGGGACTATCAAACTCTCTCTCTCTCTCTCTCTCTCTCTCTCTCTCTCTCTCTCTCTCTCTCTCTCTCTCTCTCTCTCTCTCTTTCTCTCTCTCTCTCTCTCTCGCGCGCGCGCGCGTGCTCCTTTTTCTTATCGCTCCCAATGGAGCGCGGGTCAGTCATGAAACTGGTCGGAAGCTAAGAAAAAGGAGCACACGCACTCTCTCTCTCTGTCTCTCATAGTTCCAAGACCACAAAACACGAAAGCAACAGACACGAATAACAAACTCACTGTCAGTTATCAAGGTCCAGTCATTCGAAAGTCTTGACGCTGCACAGCTCAAACCTCAACGGCCAACATTCAGGACGTAGAGATGGTGTGTCCTGGGTGAGTGTGTTTGTGTGTGCCTGTGCGTGTGTGTGGGGTTGTGTGTGGTCTGTGTGGGTGAGTCTGAGTATGTGTGAGTGTTGTTGTGTTCGCTATACAGAACTCACAAAATGCCTCAGCCAGACTGTTTCGTCGGATTTCCACCGACTCGTCAGGAGGTTGAACTGTACTGATGGCCAAGGACTCGCCACGTTTGTGTGTGTGTGTGTGTGTGTGTGTGTGTGTGTGTGTGTGTGTGCGAGAGAGAGAGAGAGAGAGAGAGTGTGTGTGTGTGTGCATCCGTGCGTACATGTGTCTGTGTGTGTGTGCGCGTGCTCGTGTGTGTGTGCGTGTGCGTGTGTGTCCAACGTAGAACGAAGTGGTAGTCGTGTATAGCAGCATAGAAGTCAGTCGAAGTCGAGCACTGTAGCCTAGGGTATGAAAAGTCGAAGTCGATTGGAGGGCAGGCACGGTGCGGGGGATGTTTTTTCCTGCATCGCCTCCGATATCGGAAAAAGTTTGTTACGTGCGGGCGCTTGGCGCTGACCCGGCAATGTCCCGACAGTACTGGTGCTGGTGCGGGGGCCCAGTACCTTGTGTGGTACAGGCTCTGGTGCGCAGGCCCGGTACCGGCACTGGTGTTCGGGACCTGTACTGGCCCTGGCGACGCTTCAACTTCTGAAAAAGAACGACCAGCAGACGATCAGGACCGTCACGCAGCAAAAAATCGGAGGGCCCGGATTGTCCACTTGTCACAGGCAGGAACTTAGGAATAGTTATATATGTAGTGATCTACCTGATGGAAATCATACGGAAATTTTTGACGGGGCCGGAAAGGGAAGCGACAAAGCTGGGAAAGAGTTCAAAGAGGTGTTTTTTTTTTGTTTTTTTTTTCAAGGGCTCAACCTGTTTAAGCCCATCGGTAAAATTCTTTTGGAAGGACTGTGTATTGGGCTTTGTCTCATTTGTTTTCGCTGCAGTATTTCTGAAATTCGTTGTGTTTTATGTATTGATTCTATTGAATCTATTAAATGGAAATCATACAGAAGTTTGTCTCCAAAAAATTGAGAAAAACAAAAATCTGTCAGAGACCTGGGGTTGAATCCCGGCACCCAAAAAAAAAAAAAAACGAGTCTGTGCAGGTTGTTTGAAGATCCACAACTGCGTTATGCAGGGCGGATGTTTGCAGTTCTTCGGGACATCACTTAGAATTGGAACAAGGAAGTGAAGATGAGCATGGCCTCTGTGTTTTGAGAAAAACAAAAATTTGTCAGAGACCCGGGGTTGCATCCTAGCACCCAAAAAAAAACAAACGAGTCTGTGTCAGGTTGTTTGAAGATCCACAACTGCGTTATGCAGGACGGATGTTTGCAGTCCTTCGGGACATCACTTAGAATTGGAACAAGAAAGTGAAGATGAGCATGGCCTCTGTGAAAGGATGACATGCAGTAATCGGGGAAAAAGAAAAAAAGACAGGACGGGGGAAAAGGAACAGTGGGAAGAGAACTATTACTATGGTCCTCTCTCCACTCTCACCGAATGTGCGATATGAGAACGAATCTTCCCATAGAACATGGGAAGATGCACCGCCATATTTTTAGTCTTTTGTGCATTTGGTGAGTACTGGAGTGAGGCACCACGTCACATGTGTAGCTCCTCGTTGGCTGAAGAGTACACCTGTGGCATAGTTGCTGATCCTCTGGGTGATACTTCGACTCCTGACCCATTACGCCGTGTTAGGTGGCGCTGCTTGTGTTTCGGAAAGAAAACAGAAGTTATGTTATGTAATTTTTTTATTTTTATTTTTTTATTTTTTTTAATTTTTTTTATGTGCTTTTCTCTCTTGATGCTCTTGGATTTCTTGTGCTTGGATCGCCAACATTGCTGTGTGTGTAGGGACGTGGTTAGGACTCGGGGAGAGGCACCAGACATTAAACGACCTCTGTCTGCTTCTGTTTCGGAAAGAAAGCAGATGTTATGTTTTTTTTTTGTTTTTTTTTTTTATGTGCTTTTCTCTCTTGACGTTCTTGGATTTCTTGTGCTTGGTTCGCCAACGTTGCTGTGTGTGTAGGGAGGTGGTTATGACTCGGGGAGAGGCACCAGAGATTGAACGAGCTCTGTCTTGTGTGATGAGTGCTCTGACCAAATATGCTGCTCGTATCACTCCTCAGGTATGTTTCTCAGGGGATCAGATTACTACTCGCTCTGCAACTTTCCTGGACGTACCTGATGGGAACCAGAGCCAGATTCAGTCGAGAATTGCCTGGACGTACCTGATGGGAATCAGAGCCAGACTCAGTTGGTTTTGCACCCAAGTGGCAGTCAGGAGGTCGTGGGTTCAGTTCCTGGCGGCCACCTGCGGCGTGCTTGGTGTTCGCCAGCCGAGATAGTTGACTTGCCCTCCCTAGTTAGTCTTGGTAGGGTCCTGGGTTCTCCCAGGAGGCCTGCGCCCCAGGCAGTCCTAGCTGGGGATTAGCTCATATGGCCGGTAGACTTTGGCTGCCTTTGCTTGGTAGATGTAGCCCTGGCTAGGTATGAAAAGAAGAGAGTAAAAATAGAGAATATACACTAGTATACCCGACTCTGCCGCTTCTCCTCCTTCACCCAATGCCTTGCAGAAAATTATAACCCCTGTTTGAAAGTGCACATGCATCACCGTTTCACGAATAATAAACCACCGAAAACCTCCTAGAAGAACAGTGTCCAACTCTCTCTCTCTCTCTCTCTCTCTCTCTCTCTCTCTCTCTCTCACACACACACACACACACACACACACACACACACACACACACACACACACACACACACACACACACCTGTCTCTTATACACATCTAGATGTGTATAAGAGACAGCACACACACACACACACACACACACACATTGCAGGGTTGGTGTGAGTAAAGTGGACCACTTTTCTGAGGGGTATTGATAACTCTGTGCGACGTGGTGAGTCCTTATCCATCAGTCAAATGCATCCGGGACAGACTGTTGAAGTTCGACCTCATGAGAGTCGGCGAAAGTCCGGTGAAGCATTCTGGAACAGTCGTGCTTTATTTTTGTGGAGTTGTGTGTAGCGAACATGACAAATCACACACACACACGCATACAATAACATGGACACACGAAATTTGCTGACAAAGGGGTATTTGCAAGGAATTTGAGTGTGAACGATATACAGAAAACCAAGTTGCGAAATCATGCAGATATCGAAGTAGTTGTGTACAAGCAGAGAGCACAATTGCACCGAGAATCCATCCAAATAGAGCAATACAATGAAGTAATGAGCTCAGGCCACACCAACACAGTATCCAAAGTCGCTCCTCTCTGTCTGGCGCCCAGCACCCAGCCTACTCTACTCGACTATCCTACCTACAGCTGTGTTCATGCAACAGGCTCACTTCGACGCTCGAAGACCAATGTACATGACGTCAACAACATAGCCGATCTCTCTTCATGCACCAGGTACGTATCTCGTCACCCTCATCAGACCTTGATAACCCACACACTCGCCTCCTTCCCTGAAGACCACTAGATCGCCCTCTCTTACCCCCTAGCGCCAGCAGCCCGGCTATGGCTGCCAGTGCACCGCTGCCCTGCAGCGCCCCACTTCACCTCAATGCGCTCTACCAGCTCTCTGGCCGCAGCGCAGCATCCAATGCAGCAGCGCAGCAGCGTGACCACATTGCCTACGTGGCCCAGAATGCCTGGCCTGGGCTGCCTCACTTCCTATATGGAAGTGGCAGCCTCCTGGATGCTGTGTGTGGCCTGGGCCCTTTACAGTTGAGCACGGCCTGAGTCCGGACTTGGGCCGTTTGCTGCATTTGTGCAGGACTGTTACATGCCCAGTTGGGCGATGTACATAAATAACCGAGGATCCGCAATGTGATAAAAAGGACTGAATGGACAATGCAGTGTAAGTGAAATCTTAACAAGCAGTGTACATCCTGATACATACAAAAATGGTGCTTTATAGCGCAGGGGAAGACGTAGATACAAGTCCTGACCTAATCGGGACTGACCTCTATTACGTAGTGCAAGACAGCGCAGCAGAATGCTAGGATGCCAATGACTAGCCCAACCAATTTCGCAGTACAGACCGAACATGCATATTCCTCATCACAAGGTGTGAAGGGGCCTGGCACTATACACAGGAAGAATGCGCCAGGTCCAGTCCATACACAGACGAAGAGGAGGGGAGCAGACGAAGAAGAAGGGGGAAGATGGGAATGTCGTCAACACCAAGTCTTCGTTACAAGTCCCAGATAATCCCTCGTCAAATGTCTGAAGCCCAATGTCGAGTCTGGATCCAAATGTCACCAAGCCCGCTCTCTCATAGTCTGCTGATGCAGTGAAGTCAGGTAGCGAGAGGGTGAGAGGGGATGGTGGACTGAGAAGAGGAAGAAGAAGAACTCTCTCTCCCTCATGTGCCAGGTACTAACCTGTGAAGATGGCGCTGTGCTGCAGGTACCTCGAAGACGAAGCTGGAGCTATGGCGCCGCAGGTAATTCTAGTCTCCCTGGCCTCCGCCCAATCTCTCTCTCTCTAGTACTACTCTAGCTCCTAATAGCGCCCAGCGCTGAAGACTACCGCTAACGCTACTAGCACCCAGCGCTGAAGACTACTGCTAGCGCTACTACTACTCCTGCAGCGCCCCTCCAGGGTGCTGCTGCCGAATCCTCAAGACTACCTCCTGCCTCCTGAACTGCACGTGAAGTGCCTGGGAAAGTACCTAGGAACTACCTGCAGCCTGCAGGGCGGGCCAGTCTTTTATAGTGCTGGCCCGTCCAGGAGGCTGCTCTTGCCAATGCCAAAACGTGCCAGACCCTGGTGTTGAAGCTCAAACAAAAGTCATCTTGAAAACAGGCCAAAAATGGTCTGAGCTAAAACCCTGGTCTGGTGCCTGAGTTTCAGGCCAAGTCGATCGTATGAGGACCTGAAAACGGCCCTCCATTTCAGGCTGAAAAGACTCAGGGCCGGAAACGCCCTGTTTTAGGCTGAAACGACACAGGGCCTATAGGCCCTTGTTTTCAGGCTTTCAGGCTGAAACGACACAGGGCCTGTAGGCCCTTGTTTTCAGGCTTTCGGGCTGAAAACGACACGGGCCTCAAAATGGCCCGTGCAGCCTGTTGCAGGCGCAGCATGTAACAAGGACCCCAGGGTAGGTGCGTCGACAGTACTGCTTTTGCATAGGCCGGTGGCCGCTTCAAGATGTATCGGCCCTGCTTTGTGTGTATGTGCCGAGGCGCAACTGCCAAGGCCTGGGCCAACTGTACGACGCAGCTTAGTGAGGCTCACGTGTCCACTCAACCAACTGGCGTGCTGCAAGAGCCTGAATACCCACATATGAAAATGTCGAATTCTGGTCTCCGATGAATATTCAGGCCCGCCTTCACTTAGGGCGGGCACTCCTCTGCCCAGAACATGTGACGTCTGATAGGGCCCCATGAGGGCTCGTTCCTCGCATATTTTACTATTTTTCTTCGAAAAGCGTCAAAAGAAAAGACATAATCTGGCTATATGCTGGAATCCCCCAGTGACGCAGGCAAAATACTGAAAGTGTGCATTCGGACAATCGGCACAGAAAGTCATACATGATGATACATGTATTGATACACATCTGCTGCACCCCTCGACAACTACGTGCCAGACATCCCTGCTTCGGACGATGATATTGTCTGAACTTTGTGGGAATGCTTTTGGTGTGTTTTCTCTTCATTTTATAAAAACAAAAATTCTGCCCACCAAGATCAGCGCAAATCCTGGGTCTTCTTTGTTTTTTTTTTCATTGGGGGAAAAAAAGGAATCCTGAGGTAACCTGCAGCTAAAAGTTATTTGCAATTTTGCACTGCAATTCTACATCTAGTATCTTTTTTGAAGGTTTTTTGAAGTGTTTCCTGGAAACTTTTGAGCCAGAGTTGCGGGGTAGGTGTCGGGAACTTTGGCTGGGATCTTTGCCCGTTCAAGCCAACTCAGCAGCCACAGAGGCAGCCTGGGCACCCGGCCTGATATAACCACGTTTTCTGTAACATTCCTATTTGACAGGCTGTACCTTATTCCCTTTGTTCCGTTGGGATTTACGTTCAATGTGAGCATGTTTGCGATTCTGTTCTTTTGTATGAAAGGTGCTCTTTTTGGTTCATGTTTTTTTATTCCTCTGATTCATCCCTGTGCAGGGGTCTCGGCATCATGATGAGTCGGTGAAACTCCGACAAAACAGTTTGTCACAGCCCCTCGTTTGTTGTCCCCTTCTCTTTCCCGGCCTACGGTTTATCAGGCAGTTCTGTTTGACGATATATGTGACAGATCTTTCTTTGTTTCATGGGTGTTTTGCTGGCTTGTGATGGGGGCTGAACCGACAGTCTGTAGAGTTTTCCATCTCGTGTGGGTGGATTTCCGTCACAGGTACCTTGAGGGCAGTGGTGGTTGCCCACCTCAGGGTATCAGTTGTCGGGCAGTCGTTGATGCTTAACCGCAACCGGGGTTAAGGTGGATTATCACTTACAGTGTAACGAGTTTGGGGATTCTGCAGACTGTTGAGGGTTCAGCCTCCTGATGAGTCGGTGATGACGAAACAGTTTGTCACAGCCTCTCATTTGTTGTCCTCTTCTCCCTCGTTTTTTTTTTGTTGTTGATTTTTAACTCATGACTGGCTACGAAATTGAACATGACTCCAAGGCGACGAAACAGTTTGTCACAGCCTCTCGTTTGTTGTCCTCTTCTCCCTCGTTTTTTTTTGGTTTTTTTTTTAACTCACGACTGGCTACGAATTTGAACATGACTCCAAGGCAGAAGTTGCTTGTATTGTTATTTTTCATAACATGTATTTTTTCAGATTTTTCTGAGAACTTTTTTTTTTTTTTATGTTCACGTTTGGAGGGTTTTGGGCGCTTGTTCGCATTCGGGCGAACATGATCACATTCGCCTCCGAACGCGAAGACGGTGCTGTACCCTGCACCCTAACGCCCTCAAAGAAAAAGTCCGAAGGGTGAAAATGAGAATAAAAAATGAAGAAGGAAGTGCAGGTGTGCTGAAAAATGAACGTGGTAGACTCTTCGCCAAAACTGCAAA